CGGCTGCCCCGGGCGGCCCCCGAGGGCCGAGCGCGGCGACGTGAGTGCTGCTCAGAGGGCAGGAGGTGGCATTCAGTGCTGCTTGCAGTAGGATTTAAAGGCACCAGTGTCTGCCCGGAGTCCTGTCGTCCCTTCGGCATGGTTTCACGCCACCTCCCAGGCTGACGGGTTCGGAGCCCCCAAAGTGCGGTGCTTGCCCATCTCCCTCAGCAATACGCTGCCCCAATTGGGGCATAGCTGTGACCATCCACCAACCGCTCCGTCCTCTTCCTCCTCCTCCCCGGCGCCGCTGCAGTACTGACCTGCCGCAGTCCGGAGGAGAGGGCAACGAGTTGGGTGATGCCAGGCACTCCCGTAGCCCAGTCCCCACGACGGTGAGGACGAAGCTGTGCCAGGCACCTGCCCGGCTGTGCAGGGAGCTCCTGCCTGGCTCGGCTGGGGCTGAGCCCTACTCCAACCAGTCTGGTTTGTCAGCTTCTGGAAGCAACTCAAGTGCAGGCAGCCCTGGGCAGCTGGTCTGTGCCCGCACCAATCAGCTCCCACGGGAGCCCAGGGAGGAGCTGGCCCCGCTCACCGCCTCTTCCCCCCTCGCCCGGGGAAGCTCCACAGCGTATTAGCAAAAATCGAGCACACCTCTGCAGTGAACACACCTGACGTCGCTCTCCATAGGGCCCACCAGCACGGACCCCATGCTGCCCCAGGACAGCACGGATCCTGCACCACCGGTGGTACGGCACACCCAGTAGAGACACCCATCCCACTTTCGCTCCGTGAAACCTGGTGCCTCTTCGCCCTGCCTGCTTTCTGTCACTCCTTTCCCTTTGCTTCCTTACCCTACGGATAGCTTGGGTGGTTTATGCTTTTGGGGGAGGCCAGTTCTTCCCCATCCCTCCCCCCGGCTGAGTGATCTCTGCCAGCTGTGCCCCGTCCAGCCAATGCCCCCAGCACCTTGCAGGCCTTTGCGGGAAGAATGTAGCTTGGCTTCGTGCCTGCACGCAAGGGGACATTGTCACCAGCATGAGGACTAACACATAGCTCGGTGCAGCCAGAGACATCACATCCCAGCTCTGTGCTGGCCCTCCAGCTGTGCCCCCACGGCACACGGAAACCTGGCTCACTCTGGCCCAGGTCTGTGGACACAAGGGCAACAGATCTGTCAAGGCAATTCTTTGCAGCAAGGCACCGCTGACTTAGCAACAGGGTGGAGAGAAACCCAAGGAGCACCTTGCTTCCTCCTGGTGCTACAAAAGAAGAACATCTGCCAGTGCCGTAGCTCTAGCAATGCCCTGGAGCGCTGCTCGCCTCACACAGGACCTTGTGATCCAGCATGTGGGAGAGTGGCTGAGTCACAGCCATGGTGTGTCACCACTGTCCCTTCCTGTCCCAGCTTGCTCTCACCCAGCTCCCAGCCCACCTGGCTGCCAGGGACTGTCCCCGGCTAACTCACGCCAAGGGCCCTAATTGCTATTTACACGGTGGCAAGGATTGGGTGAACTGGGCGAGGAAGGTAGTGGCACCAGCCCCACTGGGGCAGGCTGCAGCACGGGAAGGGCCGGGATTGCTCACTGCTGCTGGAAGGGAAAGGGCTGGGAGGACGCCGGCCCACCCAGCCCTGGCTGGAAGCGGCTGCCCTCACCCAGCCCCAGAGCCCAGAGCCCGCCAGGCTCACACTGTGCAGAGGGAGGCAGGGATCCACACTGTCTCGCGCTGCAGGAGAGAGAACAGGCACGCACCCATGGTGAGGCCAGCAGAGGGACTACCGACCCCCACACTACGTACGCACTTTCTGCTCTGCCACCCAGGGGACCCCAAGGAAGGAAGAACAGAGCCTTCGCTCTGGTCTGCAGGATGAGCTAGAGGTTGGGCCCAGCAAAGCTGCAGCTCACAAGTCTTGCCAATAATGCAGAGAATGGGATAACTTAATGGAAACAGTCCCTGGTAACTGGGGAGCTCAGACTTGATCTTCGAGCAGACTCAGGAAGACAAACTGGCAAACTGATAAGGGGATCAAAGCCTTCCTCCTTCTCCATGTCCCCACTAGCCTCAGTCAGTGGAGAGAAGAGGAACAGGTCTGTCAAGGCAGTCTCCTCCAACAAGCAGCGCTGCTGCTGAGTAATACCAGGGTGGAAAGATTCCCAAGCAACAGCTCATTTCCTTTAGGTCCTACCATAAACAATGGCTGCTGCCAATGCCATAGCTCTATCAATACCCGTGGGTGCTGTTCATCCAGCACAGGGACCCTGTGAGCTGGAGCACCCAGGAAGGCAGCTCAGTCCCACACAAGAATCAGCCAGCAGCATCCCATCGCAGAGACCTCTGGTCTCCGCTCCAGTTAGGTCCAGGGCATGGAGAGCTGGACTTTACCTCAACAAATCTGCGCTTACTAGGCCTTCATCTCCCACCATCCCCCTCTGAACGGGGAGGTGCAGTTCATGGGGGATGCTTTTGGCCCTTGCTGCAACAGGATGGACAAGGGCTCTCAGCGTCTGCATCAGGCACGTCCAGCCTGTGGGGACTGTGACCTCACATTCATCAGCACGGGCAGCAGTAATAAGGCTGAGCCTGGCAGAGAGATGGGTTCCTCCTGCCCACTAGACTGGTGAGGGGAACCCTGGCCCCACAGCCATCAGGGAAGAGCTGCTTGAGTAAATCTGCCCCCTCCGCCAAGCCCTGCGCTGTCTCAGATAATCTTGGCCCAAGGAAGATGCCAGAGGCAGATCATTTTGTTGGCTCCTTTATTTAGGCACAGGCTCTCCCATGCAGCTTACAGGGAGGAAGGGGGAAGGCTGAAAGCCAAGATTACGACCAGGTTTCAGACTGGAAGCGCTGGGATCGTTCCAGGGCTGTGAAATACTCCTCAGCTTCGGAGGTTGACAGGCCTCCTTCCGACTGCAACACTGACTGCAGGGCTTCGGCCACTGCTGCTGGCATCTGCTTGGCATTCCTCGAAGAGAGAGCAAGTGCT